AATATCATAATACAACTATGCCTCATTGATCTTACATAAGGTGGCAGGGATGAGTGAATTTTCCAAATCACTGAATTGTTCTTTTTCTTTTTACAATGATGTTAATATGTCCAGACATTAAAAAATATTTAAAAACAAAAAAATACTTGAAGGGTCTTAGTAGACTGAGAAGTCAATATATATTAGTGGTCAATATATATTAGTGCAATTATGTGCCTGACTTAGAAGATAATGTGATATTATATAATGTGGTACCATTGAAAGAGCCCTGGATTTGGAGTCAAAAGACATGGATTCAAATCCTAAATCTAAAACTTACTCCCTGTGTAACCCTAAGAAAGCCACAATCTCTCTGGGCATCAGTTTCCTTATTGGAAAAATAAAGGGTTTGGACTGAATGATCTCCAAGGATACTTTGAACTGTAAAACCTATAAACCCATCTGAACATATTGCATCCCCAATCCATCTTTGGACTGTTACATTCAGTTCTGAATTATTTATTTGAGCATGTTCAGAAAAGGGAGACTAGGATGAGAAAGAAACTAGAAGAATTGCACTTTTAGGAAAGCATAACAGTACTAAATAAATGCTTGGACAATTGAAAGAATTTTGTTTTCAGAATCACAGGATGTCAAAAAATGAAAAAGAATCCCAAAGACCATCTAGAGTTGACCACATCTTACCAAGAATTCCCTCTACAACAAACCCACAAGTGGTCATGTAGCTTTATTTGTCCAGCACTGGTAAGATGGTGCTGTGGTGCTGTGCCGTGCTGGTTAACAAGGCTGTCCTTGTGTTTTTACTCTTCATTAAGCTTGTATGGGCCAATCTAATTCTCTAGCCACTCCTTTGGGCCCCTCTCCTTAGGTACAGCTTTCTCTTCATCCACTTTCTTGGCTTATCTCCTCACTAGAGGAATTGTTTCCCTTTCAAACAAGCCATGAGAAATAATAAAAAGGAAACTGGCACTTCTATCACCTACCCGGTTGGTCACAATTCTCTCCAGCCAGGCTGCCAAATCATTTTCTAAATAAAGATTCCAAAATGTAACCCATTTACCTTAAGAAATTACAAAAATGAATCAGTAATCCAAATTTCTTTTGTTTATTTTTGTAAGTATTATCTTTCCCCTCTTTTTGCCTCTACCCATTAAACATTTAAAAAATAAAAAAATACTCTTATAACTAATATTCATAGTCTAGAAATAATTCTTTACATCGACGTTAAGAATGTATGTCTCATTCAGGATTTTAAGTTCATGACCTCTCTACAAGAGTTAGTGGTATATTTAATCTTCAGTCTTCTGGATCCCTGGTATATCTTTGCATCAGTCAGAGTTCTATACAGTCTTTCAAAGATGTTTTTCTTTATAATGTTATCATCATTGTATAAATTGCTCTCCTAATCCTTCACTTCACTTTGCATCAGTTCATAAAGATCTTCCAGATTTTTGCTGAAACTCACCATTTTGTCATCTCTTATCTTATATTCCTTTACATACATATACCACAATTTTTTAGCCATTCCCCAATAGGTAGGCATCCTTTTAGTTTCCAGTTTGGGGCTACTGCAAAAAAAGACCTGCTAAAATATTTTTGTACAAATAGGTCTTTTACATCTTTTTTTGATCTTTTCCAAGTATAGGCCTAATAGTGGCATAGTTGGATCAAAAGGTATGCAAAAATAAATAATGTTTAATAATGTTTAATAGTAATAATAATGTCTGTACATACTTCCAAAACACTTTGCAGAAAGTTTGAATCATTTTCTTCTTGGGTTATTTTTTGCCAGTCTGTGGGTATAAAGTAAAATGGACCATATTTGTATCATAAGAAGGATTTGTTTGTTTCTTATTTTTACAAGCAGCTTCTATAATATTGGAATTAACTGTTCTTTGAATATTTAATAAAATTCAGTTATAAATCCATTTGATTCTTGTGGAGACCATAGAATAGGGATTGGATAATAATAGCTAGAGGTTAAGAATCCTTGGGATAGGGAGGGTATAATGGAAGGAGAGTTTGCTCATTTTTGAGGAATGAGGTTAGGTATGTTATTAACACATCCTTAGTTTAGCTTCAGGGTGGAGTCATCTCAGAACATTAGGCAACGGTGTGTAGCTGGAAGGGTGAAGAGGTACATGACTATGTAGGTGTGGGCTCAGGCAAGAGGGAGTGTGTGACAGAATGGCAGATTATTTATGAATGGAGTACAGTGGAATACTCTTTGATCCTTCCATTGCAGGAAGGTCCAAGCAGGTGACCTATGAAGAGAGCATGAGAATATGGCTTTCAGGAGAACAACAAGGGAATGTGATGGAATGGCATTTTTCTTCTTCCCAAGTAAGTGGAAACAGTCCAGGTCAGGAACACAGTGAAGTAAGATCACCAAGGGAGTGTAGAAAGAGAAGAGGAGAGGAGAGGACATGACAGGAGAGGAAAGAAAAGGAAAGGAGAGGAGAGGAAACAAGATAGCCCAGGACAAAACTCCGGGGTACACCTATATGTAAGGAGAGGAACCTAAATTCAGTAAAGTGATTGAGAAGTGGTCAGACAAGTAAAAGGATAACCAGAAGGGGGAACCATCAGGAAACAAAACAGGGAAGAGAAAATATCCATAAGGAAAGGTGGCCAAGAGTGTCAGAAGCTACAGAGAAGTCAGGAAGGATGGGGAAAGGATTGTTGAATATACCTATTCACATGTAAAGGGTGACCCAAAAGTCTTATTGTAGTTTTAAGCTTTAACATTTGAAAACTTTTGGAAGACACTATATTTGAGAACATTGGGGAAAGTAGTTTCAGTTAAGTGGTATGGTTGGAAGTCAGATCAAAAGGGGCTAAAAGGAATAATGGGAGGTGAAGAAGCAAAAGCAATCATCTTTCTAGAAAAGTAGCAGTGAAAGGAAGAAGAGATATATACGATGATAGCCACAGAGCATGGTGAGTAGATGGTAGGGTGCAATGAAAATTTTTAAGGATGGGAGTAGATCTTGGGATGTTTGTAGGCACCAAAGAAGTAACTGGTAAATAAAAAGGGGATGAAGATTAGAAAGGAGTGGATAATAGAAAGAGCAAGCTAATGGATTAGATGGGAAAAGACATGAGCTTTATAATAGCTGTTTTCCCCCCCTACAAATCAGCAGCTTCTTTCCAGCTTTGCTGTGTTTCAAATGCTGTTGCTAGTAATTTGCTAGAAAAGTGGACCATCATGGTACACGCATTCCTATGCTGCCATTCATAAAATTAAAGGATCTCAGAATTTGGGAAGACCTTACAGGCCAAATAGTCCAACAGGTAGCTAAGGATGAATCCCTGCAACAACATTCACTTCCACTTGAATACTTCACTAACTGTTCAGGCAACTCATTCTATTTTTGGACAGCTCTAATTGTTAGAGATTTTCCCTGTATCGAACTGGAATCTTCTTTTCTCTAGCTCCCTCCAGTTCAGCTGTCCTTGTCTCAATGTCTCTCTTGTATGATGAAGATATCACATCACATTCCTATTTTTGACTGCAACAAAATATGTTCTAGTACTTCCTTAAGATCAGACTTCCTTAAGATCAGACCAACTGAATTCATATTTTGTATCTCTGTTGCCTACAAATCCTTGTAAGTAACTCGTTCAAATATGAAGTTCTAAATAGAGCCCTGAATTTCTTACTCAGGGGAAAAAGCAGTGGCCAGATAAATGATGATTTTTTGACCACCAATGACTACTTTGTTGTTTGTTTTTGTTTTTCCCCCAATTACAGGCTGTTCTTAATGAAAAATGGAAATAGGGAGATTGAATTGCTCTTCAAAAAATTGCTAGAGCCTATTGTCACAACGTGAGGTGATTTGACAAAATAATTTCAAAGGTTCCTTTCTGGCCTCCAACAATCTGGGAGTCTGTGGGTAGATTTTATTTAAGAGACAACACAAGTTAAGTGGAAAGAATAATAGATTTAGAATTATTGAAAGTAAATGGACCTTGGTTTGAATCCTGGCTGGGCAATTTACTACTTGTATGACTCTTCAGACTTGAGTTAATTATCTCCAAAATAGAGATTGGACCTGAAAATCCCTAAAACCCCCTTTCCAGCTCTAATTCTACCATACCTTCTGGTACAATCTATGTGGCTTTTAAAAGCCCATGAGGGACAGTGGAAAGAGCTCTAAATGGAGTCAGGAAACTTGAGTTTCCAGGCCCTGCTCCAATATATTTACTGGCTATAAGACCAATAACAGTTCATTTAGATACTCTGAACCTTAATCTCATCAGAAAATGGGGTGCTAATATCAGCAATCCCAGAGGAGTCAAGGGAAGCTTTGATTGGTTTCTTACCAGTTAGTGCCTTCTTCTGTGAGATGGCAAGACTTTTGAGTACCAGAGCTCTAAGACTTATGCCAAACATCATATTTTTTTTGGGGGGGTAGAAGGTAAGTTCTTTGGGTAAAACATTCCTATGAATCCTGTGATTGTTTATGGTTACTAGAATCAATTAATAGAATATTTCTCAAATACTTTCAGGTTTTTAAAGCTCTTTCCTCAAAACAACCTTGCAAAGAAGATAGTGAAGTATCTTTATCCTTAATTTACAGATTACAAATCTGAGATATGTAATGTTTTATTTGTTTGCCCAGGGTCACACAACTAGAGGATAGCAGAGTCAGGGATCAAAACCTAGTCTCCTGACTCCAAGTTTAGAATTCTCTTTTTTTATATATCACATTGCCTCTCTAAGAGAAACTGACACTTTTGCCTCTAATCTGTGATGAAGCCTTTCAATTTAGCTCAAAAAAATACCTCAAATAGAATGACAGGTATGGAGAGGGAAGAAGTGAAGAGGAAAGGGGGAGCTAGCTGTTGGTGGTACTAATTTCACCCCCAAAAGATCATGTGTGGTCCTGGCATTAGACTTCACAATAGCCTCAATCTAGGCCATTGATGATGCAAGCAATGTGTTTTTCCCTTTGTGACCTTCATCTAAGTTCCCATTAATCTAGCTTATAAGTAAACCCAAAGCCACAACTTTAATAACCAATCTTTTCATCCTGTGGAATGGAGAGCAAATAATTGGAGAATGGAAACTTGGAAAGCAGAGGATTGTAGGAACCGAGGGTTTGAGAAGGGCAGATTGCTAAGGGGAAAACTACCATGAAGAAATATATAAAGCCAATGTTATATAACTCAAAAAATTGCATTCAAGATAAAGATCCACTATTATGCTTAGATGATTTGAATCATGAATCATTATTAAGGTAACTATAATGGGCACCTTTGTCCCATTCATTCCAGAGACAAACTATGAAGATTTGAATGCTTCATCTCATTCACATCACAAAGTCATTAAGTAAAAAGCTCTTTAGAAGATGTCCCTGGATAAAGTCCCATCAGTCAGACATGACTATTTCCCCATTTGTCTAGTTAATGTCCAAGTAGTCTTCTTTCACAGAACTTGAAAGAAAGTCTTCGAGTGAAAACTTTTGAAAACATTCTCTTTGTTCTAACACACCTTGTCTTTTTGTTCTTCTAGCATATGGATGAAATACTATGGAAGTGACCCACGCATTGCCCTTGGAAGATATTCTCCTTTGGAAAAAGAAATCATGGTAAGTCCATTAGAGTTTTCTTCAAGGGGAGGCCCACTGCAGGCAAATATGATCTACAGTAGAGGAAACAATAATGAAGAATCCAACAGCTAGAATAATTACACCCAAATAGGATCATAGTATCTACGAATGGAAGGGATTTTTGCTAAGAATTTAGCTCTACTTCTTTATTTTGTAGGTGAGAAAACTGAGGCTTGGAGAGGTTATGCTACTTAGCCAAAGTCCACATAGAAAGCAGGTAGCAGAGCCAAGGTTTGAGTATGCTTCTACACTGGCAAAATTTGCCAACTGCTTTTTGTTGTGGTCCAAAATATTGGGTTTTTTTTTAAAGCTCTGAATCCAATCAATTTCCACATTCTTGGAGTGCAATGCCATAGGTCTGTGATCTAGTGAGGCATGTCAGACACATTTAGTGGTGAAATTAGGAGGAGAGAGGACTAGTTATCTCATTATTGTCTGATGTCTTTTTCTTATTACAAGCATGTAACTTCCTACCTACTGTTTCTATGTTTTTCTACATGAAAAGGACTTGTTTTTTTAAAAATTTTTAAAATTAATTTATTTTGATTTATCAACAATCACTTCCATATGCTTTTGATTTGAAAATTTTTCTCCCCTTTCCTTTCCCACACCCTCCCTAAGATGGCACACAATCTGATAGAGGCTTTACATTTACATTCCCATTAAACATATTTTCACATTAGTGAAGTTCTAAGTAAAAATTAAAACCAATCGGAGGAATCATCAGAAAGATGAAACAAAACTCAACAGAAGGTAAAAATAAGTGACAGCGATTTGACTTCCATAGGTCTTTCTTTGGATGTGGACAGCATTTTCCATCCCAAGGCCTCTGGACATGTCTTAGATCCTCGTAATGCTGAGAAAAGGGTTCAGTTTAACAATCTTAGTCATTGCATAATGTGGCTGTTACTGCATCCAAAGTCCTCTTGGTTCTGCTCACTTCACTCAGCATCAGACCATATAAGTCTTTCCAGGTTTTTCTGAAGTCAGCCTGTTCATTATTTCTTATAGCACAATAGTATTCCATTACATTCATATACCACAACTTGCTCAGCCATTCCCCAATTGATGGGCATCCTCTCAATTTCCAATTCTTTGCCACCACAAAAAGAGCTGCTATGAATATTTTTGTACATGTGGGTCCTTTTCCCATTTGTTTGATCTCTTTGGGATATAGCCCTAGAAGTGCTATTGCTGGATCAAAGGGTATGCACATTTTTGTAGCCCTTTGGGCATAGTTTCAAATTGTTCTCCAAAATGTTGGATCATTTCACAACTCCACCAACAATGTAGTGTTCCAATTTTCCCATCTTCTCCAACATTTATCATTTTCCTGTTTTGTCATGTTGGCCAATCTGATAGGTGTGATGTGGTACCTCAGAGTTGTTTTGATTTGCATTTCTCTAATCAATAATGATTTAGAGCATTTTTTCATATGACTATAGATGGCTTTAATTTCTTCATCTGAGAACTGTCTGTTCATATCTTTGACCATTTATCAATTGGGGAATGGCTTGTGTTCTTATAAATTTGTCTTAATTCTCTATATATTTTAGAAATGAGGCCTTTATCAGAGAGACTGGTTGTAAAAATTCTTTCCCAATTTTCTACCTTCCTTCTAATCTTAGTTGCATTGGCTTTGTGCAAAAACTTTTCAATTTAATGTAATCAAAATTATCCATTTTGCTTTTCATAATGTTCTCTATCTCCTGTTTGGTCATGAATTCTTCTGTTCTCCATAGATCTGATAGGTAAACTATTCCTTGTTCTCCCAGTTTACTTATGGTATCAGCCTTTATATCTAAGTCCTGAACCCATTTTGACTTTATTTTGGTATATGGTGTGAGATTTGGGTCTATGCCTAGTTTCTGCCATACTCTTTTCCAGTTTTCCCAGCAGTTTTTTTCAAAGAGTGGGTTCTTATCCCAGAAGCTGGGGTCTTTGGGTTTATCAAATAATAGATTACTATAGTCATTGACTACTGTGTCTTGCATATTTAACCTATTCCACTGATCCACCTCCTATTTCTTAGCCAGTACCAAGCAGTTTTGATGATTGCTGCTTATAATACAATTTAAGATCTGGAATTGCTAGGCCACCTTCCCCTGCATTTCTTTTCATTAGTTCCTTTGATATTCTGGACCTTTTTTTTTCCAAATGAATCTTGTTATTATTTTTTCTAACTCTATAAAATAATTTTTGGTAGTTTATTGGTATGGCACTGAATAAGTAAATTAGCTTAGGTAGGATTGTCATTTTTATTAATTAGCTCAGCCTACCCATGAGCAACTGATGTTTTTCCATTATTTAGATCTGATTTTATTTGTGTGAAAAGTTTTTGTAATTGTGTTCATAGAGTTCCTGGTTTGTTTGGAGGTAGACTCCTAAATATTTTATAATGTCTACAGTAAGTTTAAATGGGATTTCTCTTTCTATCTCTTGCTGTTGGGCTTTGTTGGTAATATAGAAATGCTGATGATTTATGTGGGTTTATTTTATAGCCTGCAACTTTTAAAGTTGTTTATTATTTCAAGTAGTTTTTTACTTGATTCTCTAGGATTCTCTAAGTATAACATCATGTCATCTGCAAAGAGTGATAGCTTTGTTTCTTCTTTGCCTATTCTAATGCCTTCAATTTCTTTTACTTCTCTTATTGCTAAAGCTAACGTTTCCAGTACAATATTGAATAACAGTGGTGATAATGGACATCCTTGTTTCACCCCCGATCTTATTGGCAATGCTTCTAGCCTGTCCCCATGACATATAATGCTTGCTGAAGGTTTTACATAGATGCTACTTATTATTTTAAGGAAGACTCCATTTATACCTATGCTTTCTAGTGTTTTTAATAGGAATGGGTGCTGTATTTTATCAAAAGCTCTTTCTGCATCTATTGAGATGATCATGTGGTTTCTAGAAGGACTTGTTTTAAGTAATATACTTCCCTTTAACAGCGTTTAGGTGGTGTGCATACAATAGCCACAAGGAGGCTTTTGGCTCAGAAAGAGAGAGAGGAAGAGAAGATGCTGAAGGAGCTCAGGCAGAAATCGCCCGATTACCAAAAAGCAATGGAATATAAAAAAGAACACCCCCTTCTAAATACAGGGAAGAAAAGCATGGAAAAAACATGGACCGCTAGAATAATTATTCCGCGAGAAGAACTTAAAGTGCCAACTAGAGAGAAGAAAACTATCAATAAGCACATAGAAAGGATGGAATTGGGCCGAGGATTGCAAGACTGGGCACATTACAAGCAATTCCAAAGCAGTTCCTTTCTACCAGCTGTGACTCCAGATTCCAAACCAGCAAATCAAGAAAGAGATGAGGATGAGGAAACCTCTAAAGCAAATAAGACAGAAATAAAAATGAATGTAATTTTCAAGGCGGATGAACCCAAAAAGACCATCATAAGCAATCCAAATGACAGGCAAACATTTGACGTAAGGACAAAACTAGAACGCAACCTAGCAGGGCACACAAATCGCACACGTTTCCTCCCCACGGATTTCCCTGGTGATCTGCTTTTCTTAAATCAAAATTACAAGTCCACAAGAATTCATCTTAGTCACAACATGAAGTTATTCCTCTCAAACAAAGAGGGTCATTGGAAAAGCTGTTTTCAATATCCTTGAGAAGATTCTCCTCATTCTTAAAGCTCTCTCTATTTCCCAGCTTAATGCTGTGTTGAGGGTGTTTGTTATCTCTGCTGGTCCCTGGTTTCTTTGCTTACTCCCACACACTTCTGGTGAGAATCCTGGCTTCCCTATTTGGGACTTCAGAATTGTCATAGCATCTTCACCAGGAGTTCTGATCTGAAGCTCTCGCTTTAAAACGGCTTTTGGTTGACAGCCCCATTTGAGATGAGAAATTCCATCTTAACCATCAGTACAGCCCTTTCCTTCACCGAGGCACCAGGCAATTGGTATGCAGCTTCCCCAAGTGGCTAAAGTCACTCTGTTCAATAAAAATGTTGTACTTAAAAACAGTAGAAATTAGAATGAGGAGGGTCAGTGGAGATGACTGGTCCAACCCCCTCTTTAGAAAATGTGGGGAAAAAATTGCCTTAGACAGTTGAAATGACTTGTCCAAGGCCCTGTAGCTAGTAGGGAGTGATGCGAAGATTTAAACCCATGCTTTCTGACTCCAAATTCAGCGTCCCCTCTCCTTCTCTATACCGCGCAATTTCAAATGGCAAATAGAAAGCACACTCACCTAAGAGTCAAAAGATTTAACTTCTACTCCTCTCCCTGCCACTGATAAGCTCTGTGTGTGTGTGTATATGTATGTGTGTGTTTTCCCCTCATGAGGCAACCGGGGTTAAGTGACTTGCCCAGGGTCACACAGCTAGTAAGTATTAAGTGTCTGAATCCAGACTTGAACTCAGGTCCTCCTCACTCCAGGGCTGGTGCTCCATCCTCTGCATAACCTACCTACCCCATAAAGGGCTTTCCCCCCCCCAGCTGTGTGGTTTTAAGCAAGCCACTTCCCTACTGTAGGGGAGGGAGGAAGAATTAGTATCCTCCCCTGCAAAGCAAGGGAATTGGACTGAATGATCTCTGCCTTCCAGCTCTCACATTCTACAGCTCTAGGGTGCTAAGATCTAGAGTAACTTGGATAGGGCAGCTTAATGTTAATGACAGGTCAGATAATAGGGTACCAGAACTCTGATTGCCTTGATCATCTCTCACTTATTGACACCAACCTTCTACACAGCTATTGCATTTTAAATAACTTGATTCGTGATGTGATAGGACTGGGAGGGACCTTAAAATAATCTAATCCAAACCTTTCATTTTACAGATGTATAAACTGAGGTCCAGGTAGTTGAAATAAGTTGCCCAAGATCACAAAACTTATTGTGGTGCAACCCAAACTATAGCCCATCACCTTCTTGCTCTTATGAAGACATGGATTCACATCTGCCTTGACCCTAGTGAAGTCTCTGCCCTCTCTGTACTTCAGACTACTTCCTACAGCCTGTCTAATAAAGCAAAGACAGGTTGAGATCTATATCTGCAAATGAAATTTCTACTCCAAGAGCTTCTAATCCTTTGTGTATTCATATACTAATTTTTAATTTTTTTAGTATACAAAAATCTAGCTTCCCTGGTAATTATTAAGGAAGTTACAAAGTACAGAAGAACCTTTGGGATGAGCTAGTCCAACCCCTTCATGTTTTATAGATGAGGAAATTGAGACCCTTAGGAGACAAGTAATTTGTCTAAGGTCACATGGGTCAGTGAGTGTCAGAACAGAATTTGATTCCATGTTTAGATTCCTAATCTAGCCTTATTGCCATGGTAGCATGCACCTGTAAGCTTTAACAATGGCTTGTGCCCTTTTCCTATTATTTTGTCATCAGCTGAAAAACAAGGGTATTAACTTTGTCACAATCCACTTTATCAGTCCAAAAAAATGCACGGAAATTTCCCAAACTGTCGTTGTTTTGTTTGAATTAACAGGCCATCATGAGGTAGTCATTTATAAACTTAAGACAATGAAAGCAAAAAGCCAAAACAAGTCTGACTTTGAGTCACCACATTCTTGAACTTCAGATTTATCATCTGTGAAAAAAGTATCAGAATAGATCATTTCTAAGCTCTCTTCCAACAAAATATACTAAGGCACATTAAACATCCATCCATGAAGGCAAATTGATCATCCACCTATCTGTCTCATTGATCATTCCTGAGTTTAACCCATTCAGAGGGTGATTGCTTCTTCTGGGCTTATAGTTCCTGGGATCATAGGATCATTGCTCTAGACTTGGAAGGGCCTTAGGCATCATCTAATCCTAGAATTTCACTTCAGGCGAGCAAAGTGAGACCAACGGAGGTTAAATGATTTGTCTAACACCATACTGATAGTAAAGGGCAGAGCAGGATTTCAAACTCAGGTCCAGGTGTAACATTCTTTCCACTGTACCAAATCCTGGCTAGAGAAGACAATAGGAGACCAGCATTAGATGCACCCAAAAAGACACTGGAGTTGCCTCAGGGAAACTAGTCTGGGATGCAGCAGCCAGAAGAGTAGGTGAAAAGTGAAGACAGTAAGTGAAAGGGAAGACCCTGGGAGCAAAAGGCCTACAGATAATAAAATAACAAATTTTCCAGAAGTGAAAAATCCAACCCAAAGTCAATACCAGAACACCCAACAGTTAACGTGGAATACATTAATTTATTGTCACCATTCAAGACACACAAAAACCATTCCGTAAGGATACCTTTACTTATTTCAAACTAATTATTCTCTCTTCTATTTGTGCAAATTCTAGAAACTACCTTAAACTAACTGTTCAGAAAGAAATTCCAGTTTCACAAGGAGATGTTCTTGCTTTCAGCTCCACGCAATGCTTGACCTCAGCTCCTTTTTAGTGATTTTTTTTTCAGAAGCAACACATTTTAATTCCCAATAGCACTGTGGTCCCAAGAAGGAAACTGTATCTTCTTCCATTTTCATGAAGGGATCCACTAATCATGGCTGCAAACCAAGAGAGAAATGGAATTCACTTTAGGAAGTCAGCAGCAATTGATACCATGATGGGAAATCAGAAAATTAAATAGCATTAGCTGTTTTCTGCCTACTGGACTTTTTTTTTTTTTTGAAATCAAGGCTTAGACCAGAGGTTCCAAAACTTATTTGGCCTACTTCTCCCTTTTCATAAAAAAAAAAATTTACTCAGCACCTCCCTGGAAATCTACTTTCTTTAACCCTTTATTTTTTTTTTAAATTCGTGTCATTTCAAAACATATATAAAATACTTTTCAATGAAATAGCTTAAATTTAACAATTTAATGGAAATTTGTGGGATTTTTCCTGTATTGAAATTTTGGTGATGCAATATTGTGTCACATAACTGTACGGTATCATATTGTAAACAAGTCAATACACACATATATTCCTGCCAATACATGCTGGACTTCCTGACAATGGGCACACTCACCTACCAACACTTGCTTATTACGACTCATTGGCAGACTTGACCCCTGATTAGTAATAACCTGAATTTTGTGTGTTTATTTGGAAAATAATGTAATCATATGACTTTAACCCTGTTACACAATGGATGAAACATGTATGAATGGTTTTTCAAAATTTTCTTGTCTTCTTTTTCTGTCTTTCTATCTATCCATCTTTCATTATGCTTCCACTGCCCCCTTATTTTTATTCAATGACCCCCAACTGTGCCTGAGGCTAACAGCCCCCTAGATCAGTCCAGTACCCCCCAGGGGATGGTATCACTCACTTTGTGCATCTATGATACATGCTCAGGGTAGTAATTAGGAGAGCTGGGATTTGACACTAGATCTTCTGATTTTAAATCAGTGCCCTTTAAACCATTGTCTCCATTGCTTTTGTTGTTGTTCCATTAAATCAGTAAGACCACTTATGAAAATGGAAATAGCATTGGATTTGAAGTTGGAAGACCTGGGTTTGAGTCACAAACTCAAACAATTTGAGCTCTAGGCTTAGGATTAGAATTAGTGACTTGCCTGTTTGAAAACAAGTCATTGAAGATCTCTAGCTATCACTTCTCTCATTGATAAAAATCAAAATGATGTTTATCATGCCTATATCTCAAGGTGCTATGAGGAAACAATTTAAGATATTGTAAGAAGGAATGAATAAATTAAAAAAGCATATGCTAAGCATTGTGCTAAGCTCTGGGGATACAAATATAATAACAAAGATAGTCCCTACCCTCAAGGAACTTATATTCTAATAGAGGAAGACAACACATATGGGGGAGTGTTGGCCAAAGAGGGACACTTTGGTAAGAAATGGTATAAGAATGGTAAGAGGGTCCATAGAGGGGTAGTCTTATATACTTAACCCAGGAAAGGTGGCAGAGTTGATTTGATCATAGTACCAAACCAAAGGGTGTGGCACAAGGAAGGGTATGCCTTCTGTGGTAAATTGGTTGGTAAGGCTGTCAGTAAGAAGTAAAGGGAAGCTGGAGCTTCTGAGAGTCTGAGCTTTCCTGAAATAGTGGAGATAGACATGATAAACATTATTCCAATTTTACCAATGAGAAAAGTGATATCTAGAGGTCTTTGATTACTTAGAGATGAAATAACTCACTTTAGACATGTGGATTATCATTATTGGTAGCAATAATAACATTAAATCAATATTGGGAATGTCATAAATTAATTTTCCATCTCCAGTATATGTAGTATCCCAGTCAGACCCATGGAATATCTGGAATGATGGTGCTAAATGTATCTGACTAAGTTATGGATAATAATTTATTCAGACTTTCAATGAAATGTAGAGCTAGTGTTTGGGACTCATTTTTTTTAATCAGATAAATTGAATTTGTTTTCTCCCAGCTATTTGTATTTGCTACAGTAATTATGCAATTGCTACAAAATATAACAAGGATAAGTACAATTTTCCAGAGTTTGTACAAACAATAATTTTTCTTGTCATTTCTGACTCTGTGACCCCATTTGGGGTTTTCTTGGTAAAGATACTGGAGTAGTTTGCCATTTCCTTTTTTGAATCATTTTACAGATCAGGAAACTGAGGCAAAAAGGGTTAAATGACTTGCCTGGGGTCACATAGCTAGTAACTGTCTGATTCTAGGCCCGCAGCTCTATCCACTGCACTACTTAGCTGCCCTACAAATAATAATAGTTCCCATTTATACAGATATGTGAGATTTAAAAAGCACTTTACATACCTTATCTCATATGATCATTGCATCAACCTGAGGTGGGGTGGGGTGGAGAGTAGCATTATCATTCCCATTTCATGCATGATGAAATTAAAGCTCAGAACAGTTAAGTGACTTGCCCAGGGTCACACAACTGATAAATATATAAGGCAAGATTTGATCCCTGTAGGTCCAAAACTCTATCCACTATACCACACCATATTCTGGCCAATACAGGTAAGGTTAGGAACCCTTAAAAAATGGAATCTAAAAATAAAGACAAATGTAGCCCTATGTAGAATTT